TTTGAATGGTGAATTTTCATAGCTATGTAAAATTATCAGAGGGTACTAGCTGCAGATTTTTTGGGCAGTGAATTCAAGATTGGTGCTGCAATCGTTGGATACCCCCCAACCAGAGGCATAGCCATTGGTAGCGGTTACGAAGCCGTTGCCACAAAAGGGTGAAATCGGGAGTTGTCCTGTGTACCCTTTGGCAATTTCATCTGGTGTACGGGTTTATTTTTCGATGCGCAGGCAAGATAGCTGCTTGTGGATTGATCAAACCATATCAAACCTGTGAACTATCTTCTGTTCTACCAGGGATGATACCAATTGACTGACTCACAGAAACTCTGGGGTCAAGCACCAACTACAAGGTTGTGCCCTGTGGCTAAGTTGGTTTCGAAGAAAGTGAACTAGGAGTTGATGGTAGATGCAGAGAATAGCTAAATGGGTGAACAGCCAAGAACCATAACTCGGGGCACACCCCAACTGTATAGGTAGATGGAGGTTTCCTAAGTCATGGGGGTACCCCTAAATTGTCCATGCTGGTTGGTGGTTTGGAACATGAATTTTATTTTTCCATAGATTGGGAATGTCATCATCCCAACTGACGAACTCATATTTTTCAGAGGGGTAGGTATACCACCAACCAGATTATTATTAACCATCATTAACCATATAATAATCATCATGAACCATGAAACTAACAGTGTATTAACCATGTTATTTTCCATATTTATGTTCAGATTTTCCATGAAATCAACCATCCAAATCCATCCAGCCAGCTCGCTTGGGATATTAGTCGCACCCAGCTTTCGCTGCCAGAAGAAGCCCAGAGCGTCAACGCCCAACGCGGCTGACCTAGATGAACAACTGAAGGCACAGTGACGGTGGAAGGCGGTGGGGATATCAATGGGGATTTTGTTTAACCATTGGAAATTTCCATATCCCATATGCGAACCATGGTGCTGGAATATGAATCCCATCATTTACCCCATTTTTATGGCCCAGTTTTGTAGGTAAATATACCAGCACCATGGAGCATATGGGTATGACTGGGTGATGTTCTCACCAGGCTAGTGGTGGAGATCCAAGCCGCTTGGGGGCTCAATGGTGCTTTCAGAGGCTTAGAAAAGTTTGTCAAGCTGAATTGCGCAAACTTCAAAACATCTGTTTTTATTGTAATTTAGGTATTTTTGTAGCACACAGTCAGGGTTCCGTTTGATGTTCGATTCAGTTTCCTGATACATCTACCATTCGGTTCCTGCGATCCGTTTTCAAATATCCATTCCGTGACCCCACGATTCGTTTCGATTCGTGTATGTCGATTCAATTCAATCCCAAGCTCAGTGTAATCCCATATGAATCTTTCCAATGTCATGGGGGTACTCTAAATCATCCAAGTCATTTGACATCATTTGACCATGTTATTACAGTTATGGTCGTTTATTAGTTATAAGTGCTTATAACCCCATTTATAGAATGTATAATCCCATTTATAACCAGTTATAACTGGTAAATGGCCATAACTGTATTGAAACCCATGGTAACTCAGGATCCCCCATTTTATCAATTTGAACAAGCCCCATGCCATATAATGATCAACCATTGCTACCCTATGGTTCTTTAATGTAGCTATGGAAAATCACCATTTCTGGTTGGTGGTGTCAAACATTTTTTCCATATATTGGTAATGTCATCATCCTAACTGACGAACTCATATCTTTCAGAGGCGTAGGTCTACCACCAACCAGATTTCTAAATCATCATAATTCATGGGCAAGATATATTCAATTACCTTCGAGTGGTCCCCACCCTGACACACGATTCTGACATAGTGACATAGTTACTGTCATACCATCTGGAAGCTAATATATGGCATACATAATATATGTATATATATATATGTATATCTGACATTCTAGCTGACATTCTTTCTGGCACATACTCTGACATTCTATCTGACATTCTTTCTGCCATTCTATTTGGCATCTATTCTGACATGGCTCACATACGTTCTGGCATAGATTCTGACATTCTTTCTGGCATTCCATCTGGCACGGCATTCTCTCCAGAATTCTCTCTGGCATGTGTTCGGGCTCAGGCGTGCCCTACGGCATCCGGAGCTGGCGGTGTTCGGGTCCAGACGTGCCACACAGCATCCGGGGCTGGCGATATGAGAGCAAGTGCAGCAAGTGCAGCAAGCCAGGAGGAGGAGGAGGAGGAGAAGATGAAGGAAGGAAGGAAGGAAGGAAGGAAGGAAGGAAGGAAGGAAGGAAGGAAGGAAGGAAGGAAGGAAGGAAGGAAGGAAGGAAGGAAGGAAGGAAGGAAGGAAGGAGATGCAACTTAGTTAAAATCTAGAGACCCTCACATGGCAGGTGGGGAATATCCATTGCTAAATTTGATCAAGCCATCTCTACTCCCTTGTGTTTGTTCAACCGTCAGGAGTACATGACGCACAACAGCAACCGTACGAGGGATTGCCGGGATCCTTAGGAGGATGGGCTGCAGGGGACACGGCCTAAACATGCCTAAATGGGTCGGTTTGTCCCAAAAGGGGATATCCCAACTTATGGAACTGTGAATGGGAAGTATGACAATAAATCATGAAGTATTGGTAGAGTGGTGCCGCATTTTCAAAGAGAGCCACGAGAGCCGTGATGTTACCAACAACATCTTTTTCAGTTCCCATGGGTTTCAATACGTGTTCTCGATGCCAAGTTGTCCTCTAGGAAGGTCTGCCAATCATTTTGCCGATTCTGCCCATCCAATCAGAAAAAAAAAACACAGAAAACAAGTTCCGGTCATCTCCAAACGTGGACTAAACTTTAAAGTCATCCAAGATTGCCATGAAAAACCCTGCCCTACCATATTAAACAAATAATATACCATCCAATCATCCGCGATCTGCTATTTGGTACACATCCATTATGATTGTAACGAATAACATCCATTATGATTTGTACCTAATCATTTGTGTAACATCCAGTCCAGTCACTTAAGATATCCAAAAACACAACTGATGACTAAGATATCCATAAGTCATAAGATATCCATCCCTAAGATATCCATCGGATGTTTGCTCTACGGCGCATATGAGTCGCGTACAACTTCGCTTCAGGACAGCGCGACATAGCGCGACAGCCACCAGTCAGTGATCCCTCAGCTCTCCGTTCCGCGGAAGGCACCCAGTGGAATGACGACAGAAATCCATGGCTGGTTGCTGGTTCATCCCAAAAGTTGGCCGAAGGGGGACCGGATGTTGTTTTTTTGATGGTCGAAGTTGCGACTCAAATTTGAGCTGCTGAAATCGCAATGAATATTTTTTTCAGATTTTAAGGATACTCAATACATATGTCATACATATATATATATATATATATATACAGTATTTGTTGGGTCCACAAATCAGGGATCACATGGCGCCATACATTTCTGCACTCTTTTCGTGATCATTCCAGCTGTGGTGTCACTCGAAGACGGGGTAACCACCTGGTCGCCTCCTGGTCACAGGATGTCACAGGATGTCACTGGCCAAGCCATTCACAGCTATGATCCAAGCCATCACATTTGGCGGGTTTGACAGCTATGATCAACCAAAGGATTTTTGATGATTTTTGTAGACATCGAAAATCTTCAGAGATACTGTATATTGCTTGGATGTCAAAATATGTATTTAAGTGCTCGTTGGTTTCAAGGCATTCAACCACTAGATTGTGGATATTTGAGATGATGATTCATTTAAAAAAAATAAGATATTCTGCATCAGTAATATTTTTGGGATGTAGAATGTAGACCAAAGAAGACCAATAATCAGTCACACGTATTGGGTGCTATTTTACCCTTTGAAGTATGATGCTATTTCACCTCCTTACCGGTTAAAGCGTGGTCTCGCTTTTAAAGGGTTTCATGTAAAGTTGTTATGGGGTGGCTGCGTCGACGAAAAACTCACTTCCAGCAGCGCGCAGATCCCTGAAAAGGATTGGCTTGAGGGGTCAGAGTTGAAGTTCTGCGCTTCTGTGTATGTCTGGAAAGACCTCCAAAAAATGGCTTAGTCCAGCAAAATTGGCACCCCAGACACTGCCATTTGAAAACGGAATATGAGGTGTCAGCCGTGAAGCTTTACCTGCATTTTGCCTTTCGCCCTTGCGCCGTGAAGCCGATCGATTTTTTTCCGGGAACAACGTCCTTGCAGGGATGAGATTAGTTCAGAACTGTCCAGGCTGTTTCAATGGATGGATCACTGGCTTCTACAATGTGGTGCCCCATAGTTAGCCAAGTTGGTTTATAACTTCAATAACTATGGTTTATGGTAGATATATCTACAGTTAATGGGGTTTATAAACCAACTAACATCACTGGGGGGGCACAACCTTGTAGGGACCTCAAAATATCAAAGTTCCATCGAGGTGGTAGATTCTCTGTGGTTCCTGTAGTTAAACTATGATCCATGCGAAAATGAAGGTCCAGAAAAGATCAGTTAAAATGATGTCCCAATTCTGCCAGCAATTTTTAATGAGGCTGATAATGAGGTTGATAATGCCAACGATCATGAAACACAAGGTTTTTGAGACGCCGGAACTTCAGTTCGTCGCTTCATACAAAGAAAGTGCAGTGTTTGCTGATGTGAGTGACGATTCTCATTGAAAAACCTGATTTCTTGTACAAACCCAGCAGGCATGGCATCTCCATCCATTTTTCTACAAATCGTTTTTTTCCATTGACACGGGGATATATCTTCATTCTTCGCCCCCACGCTTTTTGTGGATAAAACATGCTTTTGTGGATAAAACATGATGAACATTATGCCATATGCTCCATGGTGCTGAAATATGAATCCCACCATTTACCCCATAAATGGCCCAGTTTTGTAGGTAAATCTACTATACATATGGGTTATGCCATACCAAATTTGATTTCCCCATCCTTGATTTTTGTTTGGGACTATCGGATGGGTTGTGAACACATGGCAGCAATGCTTTCCTGAAGCGCCCTGTGGCTTCGTTGCCGGCTGCTCTGCCATGCATCTAGGTTCAAGTGGCCGGCGGTTTTAAATATTTCCAATGGTTTTCCAATAATGTTAGTAAAGTAATAGTAAGTCGCGCTATTTTGATGGTTGATACCACCCTTTCATGGTGATTTTGTGAATGGTTTACTATTGCATTACAAGGTTTTTGAGTTTATGCAAGAATTTGGGGATTGATTGAAAAACACCACCTTTGGATGGTAGTTGGGAGTGATTCCTCGAAAGCTTGTGGAATTTCAAGAAACACCAACCAAGACGATGGTCTTGGGGAACTGGTAATGTTCTGGGGGAAATCCACAACACTTGGTGATTTTCCCAGCCTGAGGGAAGCTTCACTGGTTTGTTTACTCAATTGCTACCATGCAGAACAAAACAAACATTTGAGCCGTGGTGGTAGTGATGTGAAACCACTTTGTCACCCCCATTTGCGGCCCGTCAGGGCGCCAGTCGAATGTTTGTTAAGATTTGGCCCGGACACGAAGGCGTTTTTTTGCGGGTGTTCTACGAGAACAAAAGCCACCCAGTCAATCAGTCATCAGATTTTACATTATTATACCATATTCAGAGCATGTTTGTTTTTTTTTCATGATTCAAATGATCTCTATTCTTGGGAAATATTTCAGTGCGGGTTAGTGGTTATAATTGAAATGGCTCAAAAACGTTTTTTTTCCGGTGTGGTGAGCCTGGCTCGCCTTCAAGTTCAACCATCTGCATGCGCATGCGCATGGCACAGTAGGGCATCTCCAAATCCCACCAAGAACAGAAATGATTGGCTCAAAAAGCGAGATAAACCCCAGAATTTGGATGGTTTAATATGGTGTGATACACAAAATCTATCAGACTTGTTGGTTTGGACTTTGAATTATTTAATTACTCCTAAACTTGGGTCGCAGTCGTAAGTTTATCTGAGGAATGGCAACACTGATGTGGATGGGCAAGTGCTTCTGTCTGAGCATGTCTATCATGCTACTGAGCTGGAACACTTGGAGTCAGCCTTGGAAGTTCCTGATTCTTGAGCATGTCCCATTAGTCCAGAGACACCGACAGAGCAAGTAACGAGTTTCCAGTTGGACAAACTCGCCCTGAAACAGTGGTTACTTCCCATTTCCATTGCTGTTCGCTCCAAGCAATTCCTTGGATTTCTATGGCTACAGTATTTAGGTTTCGAACGGTTTGAATCCCAGGATACCATTGGAATATGTTGGAATAAGCCAGTTGACAGGATACCATTACTCCAGGGATAGCTTGAACAAACAGCAGTCACCAGGTTGGCTTCAGGAGCGTCCCAGATTTTAAGACACGTTGTTTTACCATCGTTTCTGTGAACAGAAGGTAGCTCACTTTATCCATGTTTATGCTAACGGGTGCCAAACCGTACGTGTAGTTACACACATTTTCAACATGGGGTGGGGTGGGGTGGGGATGTTAACGTTCGTTTGCAGTTGAACACGCCACGCATGCTACGCTGAGCATGTGTTGGGGTGGAGATGTGAACATTCGGTTGAAGTCGAAGACGCCTCTGCTGCTACGCTGATCATGGGGTGGGGTGGGGTGGGGTGGGGATGTTAACGTTCGTTTGCAGTTGAACACGCCACGCATGCTACGCTGAGCATGTGTTGGGGTGGAGATGTGAATGTTCGGTTGAAGTCGAAGACGCCTCTGCTGCTACGCTGATCATGGGGTGGGGTGGGGTGGGGATGTTAACGTTCTTTTGCAGTTGAACACGCCACGCATGCTACGCTGAGCATGTGTTGGGGTGGAGATGTGAACGTTCGGTTGAAGTCAAACACGCCTCTGCTGCTACGCTGATCATGGGGTGGGGTGGGGTGGGCATGTTAACGTTCGTTTGCAGTTGAACACGCCACGCATGCTACGCTGAGCATGTGTTGGGGTGGAGATGTGAACGTTCGGTTGAAGTCGAACACGCCTCTGCTGCTACGCTGATCATGGGGTGGGGTGGGGTGGGGTGGGGATGTTAACGTTCGTTTGCAGAGGTCTACATGCACAATGATCAATGAAAGTGGCAAGGCAAAAAAGGTCCGAAATTTGTGCTGCAAGGGTTGCAAAATCACAGAAAAATGACCTTTTTTGGGAACATTTTTTTCCTGATCAGAAGGCCACGAAACACTGAAAGGGTTGTCATTTCTTTCAGCATGTTGATGCGCCTACACGCGCGATTCCGCACCCGGCGGGATGTTTATCCAATTCTTTGATCGTCCCCAGAGTTGGATACAAGGGAAAGTTGACACGATCCCACCAATAATTGATGGTAAAAAAAACATGTAAAGACATGTAAAGACCATGATAGAAATTGTGGTGAACACCGTATGTTTTTTACTGGTGAAGATGTTCCCAACGAAATCAACCCATTGGCCATCATGTATTTGGTCATTAAATATCGTTAAATCAGACATAAGTCACAATTTTGAGTGAAATCCCAGATTTTGAGTGGCTCTAGATGCTCATCATTTTGAAAAAAAAACAATTTTGAGTGGTTTTTTATCCCAGATTTTGGGGTTCCAAGTTCTCGAGGTTTGTTTGGCGCATGCCTTGATTACTGAGAGAGAAGAGGTGATGGGCACCTTGGACCAAGCGAATGGACCTGGCATGGCGCATTGGACAGAAATTCCTGCAGGTCTTTTTCAGCACGACCAGTTGGCAAATCTCATGTTTCACAATGATCACGACCAGGGGTATGTTGGGGTACCTATAAAACCATCGGAAAAAATTTGCAACGGTTGGTCTTGAACCGCCCCGGGTTCATGTATTCAAATGGGTGTGTCTTTTCTATGGGATATACCCCTTGTTTTGCCATCAATGATTAACGGGACAATGATCATTATCCACTGGATTTGGGATGATAAACTCATGGAATTTTGCCTGAGTTGGGGTCAATAATAAATGCACCAACCACATATTGGTCTCAAGAAAAACCACCAAACAACCTACCCTCTGGTAAACTAACAGTTTGCTATTGAAAATGGCCCAGTCGAAATCGTGGATTTTCCCATTAAAAGTGGTGGATCTTTCACCGCTCCCGATCTGATCGGGACAAGTGAGCCTGATCAGGGTCTGCTCGCAGCGACTGATCGATTTATCGTAGCAATGTGGCCTAAAAGTCAATTGAAATCTATGAATCTGGGTAAATTATAACGACCTCACTGCGACCGAACCCTGGAATCATGGTTAGTAAGGAACATCATCCCCAAATGGCCGCAAGATTCAGGTTAGTGAAATATTATTTCATTTACCCAGATGAATTCGTTCTCTTATGCAGGATCAAAACATCTCAAAACCATTTGTGGGAAGATCCAAAAAGATCCAAAAAAACCGAAAACTCTCGGAGGAAGGCCTGAAAATCCACCTCCACCAGCGTCACAGGTCTCCTGTTGGGTGATGTGCACCAATCACAGGCCTGTGTCCCTGGGGCAAGGGTGGATGCTATAAATAGAGGTTTCCGAAGTCATGGGGCTACCCCCAAATCATGTGGATTTTCCCCTAACAAAAACCATCCAGCTATTGGGAAGCCCCATTTTCAGGAAACCACCATTTTCAGGGAATGTCGACGAACCAGCCAAGATTTTATGTTTTTGCTAGGGGGTCTACAGTAAGATTGGCAATGATCCGAAATCTGTCATGAAAAATGATAGGGGAAACCAAAGGTTGTGTCTTAACTTGAAGCCAGCAAAAAAAAACACTTGTCTTGGGTATGGCTTTGTTTTTAATATATCCTGGGTGTTGAAAATGATTGAATTGGGTATGATTTTTACTATCCACTATCAAGGTGTTGAACATTACTGAATGGGGTATGGTTTACTGGCTTTAGCCAGATGAAGATACCCTAACATGGCCGGCTGAATTTGGAATATTATGCAATATGCAGTGTTACGGTAATCAAAACAACTGCCGACAGAGCAAAGTTCAAGTACCACAGGATACGCAAACTTGGTCATTCTGAGTATCAAGGCATCCAATATTCATGGGATCCCACATGTTTGACCAATACGCAATAGGGGAGGCAACTATTGAAACCTCTTAGTATTTTGCACACTGCTGGACACACACACACAGACATGTGTTTTATACCTTGACGATGGCCGAGAACTGGCTTGAGTAGAAACAACTTTACTGGTGCGTTTTACGCAGGGAATTTTTGGGAATGCATCCAGCAATCATCACATTCGTTTCATGTCATCATCCCAGCAACCCCATTCCCAACCCATCCAGCAACCCTACGTTTAGCACCGCACCAGTTTCGAATCTGCAGGTTCGGATCTGGAGTTCAATCAGCCTGTCGCTTGACTGGCAGTATTATTTTATGTCTGGCTGGTGACAGTTCGCCATGGACAGATCCACCATTTTAATAGCTACATCTACATCATCTATTTCTATGGGTTTTCCAGTTCGCTATGTAACTTAAATAACCAGCTGGGGTAGATGGATTTCATCATCTTTGCAAGTCCAAGATCATGATTAAAATCCATTGGAAAATGCCTCCGCCATCTCGCAGAAACTGTTTTTTTTTGATGCAGCAACCGCAGGTGGGGACCGGGGCTTCCCTGGGTTTGGCTTCCCAGTTTTGTGTAGCTAAATCGATCTAGTCCCATCCACTTTTTATATGTTCAACACCTCCATCTGGTTGGTGGTTTGGAACATGAATTTTATTTTTCCATATATTGGGAACAATCATCCCAACTGACGAACTCCATCATTTTTCAGAGGGCTAGGTTGAAACCACCAACTAGAAACGCTCGTCCGACCGTCTTTTTAAGATGCGAAGTGTCTTCTGTGTCTTCCCCTTAAGCACCCACATATCTTCAGCATTTGTTGTTTATTTCCCATAGGATCCATGGTGCTGCTATATATGGTAACATGGATCCCATCAATATACCCCAGTCATGTTAGCATATATTCCAGCACCATGGATCCGTCATGGGTTTGTTGTTGGCCAAGATCAAAGTGTAGCACCATTCACATGTCACAGCAGGCGGGCCGCCACCGTCCCAAGCATTCCCCCCAAAGCCTGAGGCGTCGCAGTGACAAGCGGCCGGACCGTGTGGAGATTGCGCCAGAACAATTGGTGGAAGCCGTGGAGTACGCCGAGAAGCTTAGCCAGGCGAAGATGGGAGAACTTGGGAGAACTTTGAAATAACTTGATATATATATATATAGATCATATATATATATATATATACATGTTTATTTGACTAGTTGATACATGCAATAGAACAAGTTGTTGTTGCCCACTGAACATGGATAGCAATGACGGCGGCCTTTTTTTTCGGAATGGGGACCTTGCTAGTTGGGGCAATCAGCTACCTCTTGCACAAAGAATGGGGGTTTGTTCGCTTCTGAAACACAGAAACCTGGGAATGTCACAGCCATGGATTTGTCAAGAAACAGCCACATAAAGACAGTGATTTGGCTTGGTTTGCCTGAGAAGCAGGATAGTATGGGGCCATGTACCGGAACCATAGAATTTTGTTTTTCCCCCTAAATTTTCAGACACTCCGAGTCGGAATCGGAGAATCGGAATGTCTGCTTCGGGATGATGATGTTCGAAGTTTGCAGCGTGAAAGACAACTGGGCAAGAAGGGCGGGTGAGATCACAAAATGCGTTCAAAACAAAATGCCTTTACCCATGTATTCGATCAAGTTTTCTACTTGTGTTTTGTTTGGACATGCTTAGCTGCTTGGAAGTTAGCTGTGATGCACTCTACAGTTGCGTGCAAGTTGCAACTTTGGCATTTTTTGGGGGGTCTCAACCAAGAGATTTTCCATGCCTTTGTAAAGGTCAGGCATCGAACATCACCTGTAGGTGATGAAACGCACCTGTCGAGTCGTGGGCTGGTGCTTTGGCTGTACGACCGGGCCATGTGGGGCCAGCTGAGAAGCAACCAATTCAGCCTGCAGTGTGACATGCCACTAGTGTTCTTTTTCGGCATGTTCCATGATTTTCCTACAAAAAGCCTGTTTTTCCATCATTTTCCATCATTTTCCACTATCGCGAAGCCAGTAAAGCCTGTTTTTGTAGACATGACATGACCGAAGCGGCGGCGTGTGAGGTACCACTCGCATCCTCACATCACCTGCTTCCCAAGTCATGTGGATCTGCGTACACAGCTTCAGTATCAGTCGATGGACTTAGAGCCTTTATCCTGACGCGGCAGACGGGGCTGTGGCACGCTGTAGCTTATTTTCGTAACATGGTGAACCCACTATTCTTAGTCTTCTTGTTGCTTAGTAGAGACATGTATGGAGGAATGATCCCTAATAACTATTACATCAACCATCATCCGATTGCTCCGTTTGCTATATATAATATAAGATAATATAAGCACCAGTCATTGGGCCTCACCAGTGGATCATGGTCACAAATTTCAGAAGCCCATTTGATCGAGGATTTTGAGGTGTGAGGTGAGCTGCAGTCCATGGCTGGCCACTTAGGCAGTGAAAGTCTCAAAATCTGCCCCAAAAATATCGAGACAAGCCCCATTGGCACATTTCAATACATTTCATATGAATCATTCAGCCGATTTTGTGGTTGCATCGGGCCCTCATATTGACAGAATGAGAGAATGGGTGATACCTTACCAATGACTGCTGCATGCGAAAGTCAGCTGATGTTCCTATAGGTGTCTTTTTCTTATTGTTTGTTAATTAATAGAGGGGTTAACCCCAATTCAAACCCAATAGGTAAATGACGATAAACCAGTGATATAAATGGATATAAATGGTAGATGCCAGATCGGCCAGACTATTTTTCCGAAATGAATAGTGTCGAGTGGGAACACCCCACTCCATCACTATTCGATCATTGTTTGTCCCTATTTGGCTTGCCATCTATTGTGGATAGACTTACTGTTTCCAGACATGTATCATTCATGTTCATTGATATATAGTTGATTGTATATAAATGCCAATATAATATATTATAATATATAAACAAATTAGATCATAAAATATCATAAACTATGTTATATCCCATGAGAACTCCATTGTTCTTTTCGCTAAAAGATGCAGAAATCCCCCCAAATTTTGCGAATCAGCTGATGTTTCTCAGGATTTTGTGGGTCTGATCTTTGGAGTCTTCAACTATGGCAACTTCGGCTGCTGGGATGTTGGCATAGTGCGGATGTCCCACATGTCCCATTGTACCCGGTACCTGGGAAGTTGTGGTTCAAGGCTAGGTCTTAAGTGTTAAATAAACGGGTTCCAAACCTATCCCATAGGATCCATGTATGGTATATATGCTAACATTTGGGGTATATTAATGGTAAATGTTACCATATATGGCATACATGGATCCTATGGGTATGATATCATGTATGAGTTTGAAGAGATTACAAGCCACGTACCACCGACTTCCTCACCATTCCAGTCATATGCGGTGAGGCTCCACTCACCACGATCTCATCGCGTTTCGGGCGCTGGAGACACCCAAGGACGCACACGTTGGGATGCCGTTCATGTCATACTGCCGTCATGATTTTCTGTGTTTGTTGATGATATGTTTCAAAATATCATACTCATATGGTGGATGGTTGCGAAATCCTGCACCAGTTCATAGGTGATTTATCCCATTATTTACCCTCTGGTAATTTAACATAGCTATGGAAAATCACCATTTTTAATGGGTAAATCAACTATAAATGGCCATTTTCCATAGCTATTATGTTAGTTTACTGGAGGGTATAGGGTTTCAGCCATCCTTTTGGTGATGCAGGATTTCGCTGGCCCATCCACAGTGGTTATCATCCCCCAGGCCCCCAATGAGAATCGAAATGGGGAATCGATGAAGGGAAGATTTTGAGGATTTTTATATATTTCTATGATTTCTATGGGGGACCCCGGACCAGCAAATCTAAGATACTTAAGTGGACTATTTTTTGTGAATGGAATTACCCTCTGGTGAACTAACATAGCAATTGAAAATGGCCATTTATAGTGGATTTTCCCATTGAAAATGGGGATTTTCCATTGCTATGTTAGTTCACCAGAGGGTATTTTTTTTTTAAAGATGAACTAAACCATATGCATGTGATGTCAGTATCCACCTTTTGGGCTATCTACACAAGTGCCATCATATCATGAGATTTGCACCAGCGTTTGATTGTAAGAGTGGTGTGTACTTATATAAATAGCTGTAGGATGATATAATACTATCTAATACTATCTACCTAAACCCTCCAAGTATCAAACAATGGTAACAGCATTAAAACTATGGGAAAACATAGCAATCGTTCTGGGTACTTGAAGGGTCTAGGTCATACAATCATACCTATATAAACAATATTATATGATCTATTATAATCTATTATAATCAGGATTATACTGCAATGTATAGTATATATATATACACTACATGTTTATAATGTACAATATATATATATACATTTATTTTCTATTATTATATACTTTCTATGTGCAATATATCTATATATATATATATATGGATGAATTTGATCCTGACTTCACGTCTTTTTTTTGTCCCTGGCATGAGGGTTCTGGCGTTGGTTTAGGAGATCCAGCAGCGTGCCTTGGACATGGACGACGTGGAGCAGCTTTTGAGGGGACTGGCTGGTGGAAAAGATACGGGACTATATATGCTATATATATATATATATACTATATCATACGTGTATATATATATATATATATGTATATACAAGTACATATATATATATATATATGATTTAAGATACTATTTTTTACTAAAGGACAATTCTATGTACTGAACACATAGGCTATATCCAATGGAAAATGATGAGTTCGATCCTGATTTTTTCAGCCGTTTTGTAGGGGAAACTCATCTTCCAACCCCCAACTTATAGCAGGAGTGATATGAATTTACTGGATGGATCAATGGCTCTGGATGGTATCTCCTTTGGCCATGGCCACTAAAAAATGGGGGAAATCGGGAACGGATATCCTGCATGGAATTGGAGGTAGCCCATTTTTAGACAAACCCACTTTAGTGGGTATTTTCCTGCACACATATTGAGATGTACCCTCTGGTAATTTAACATAGCTATTGGAAATGGCCATTTATAGTGTATTTTCCATAAAAAAATGGTGATTTTCCATAGCTACGTTAGTTTACCTGAGGGTATTGGAAATTATTTAAAAGGATTGACATATTTCAAATATGTCCAATGCATGGGGGACGTATTTCACATATTAAAATACCTTTGAAATGTTTTTTTGAACTCGATTTATGGATTGTGTGATATTTATTTGTGACTTACTAGGTGGGAAATACCATGGTATATTTCAGAACATCGGGAGCAAATCTGGGAGCATTTGTTCGGGAAATCGGATCTACCCCCACATGAGATACCCTCTGGTAAACTAGCATAACTATGGAAAATCGCCATTTATAGTGGATTTACCCATTAAAAATGGTGATTTTCTATAGCTATGTTAGTTTACCAAAGGGTATGTTTGGAACTATTGTACAATACCGGATTTCTTCTGGGGACATGTGGGGACATGTGGGGACTATGGGGATGTCCACCCAACAATTTTTTTGGACATTTTGAAAAAGGACATATTGGGAAACATTGGGATGATCTTGACATGGGTTTGTCTGAAAATATGGGATTTACTCACCATTTACAGGATTAATTTTCATTGAAGCACATGTACTGTATAAACCATCGGCTGGAATGGGGTACCTTATCCTCAGACAAGCCCATATGGTCAAACAAAGTGTTGCAGGCGTCAACTTTGTTTTAACCTTTTAAAAGGGAAACCAAACAACCATAAATTGTTTTCTGAGTGGTTTTGCATATGCAGCGATGACATTGGAATGATACAGATGAATTTGTGTTCTCCCGGGACTCATACAACATTGTACAACGTGGCCATGGTACAAATTGGCCTTGGTTTTAACAGTGACAACACCATCCATCTTTTGTGCTTTTTAGAAAGCAAACATTTGAACGACTTCACAACACAATTCTGGTCACCTAGTCTGGAAGTGGAGTTTGAAGATAACCTCCCAGCGGAATATCTTGAAATTTAACGCATTAGTCTTTGGAAGATTGATTTTTTGTCAGGTATATAAATCATGATATGTCCCTGGAACTTCCAACTGACGAGTTTGCAGTGCCTCAAGTATCCATACAGGTCCATACAGTTTTCCAGAGGCCAAACCCATCTCAACTCCACCTTCACACTGGAACATTCACCATTCTTGATGATTTTCATGAAAATTGGATGGGTCTTATCTGGAACCATTTGGATATGGATGTAGAATTCCAGCAAACACTGAGTCTACATCATGGAGAAACATCCAGTTCTTGGGATTTCCTGGGTCTGAAAATGGTTGTCCCTTAATCCACTGGCCAATCATCATGTTACCCTCTGGTAATTTAACATAGCTATTGAAAATGGTGATTTATAGTGGATTTTCTCATTGAAAATGGTTATTTTCCATAGCTATGTTAGTTTACCAGAGGGTACATCATATTATGGATTTCCTTGCAAGCGATCTCGGCCGCCCGTGGAGGCAACTTGCAAGTAGAAGTGGTGCCTCTGTGCGAGCTGCTCTCAGAGGAGTGGCTGCTGAAGCCGTTGACCAGACGTTTTTTTTTTGTGATGGCTCGTGTAAGAAGAACGATATATATAATATATATAAATGGGATTTAATGGGTTTTAATGGTGACTTAATGGTATCTAATGGGATTTACTGGGATATACCCTCTGGCTATGACGAACATAGCCATGGTATAGATGGCCCATAGAAATAGATGGTTTACCTATATAAATAGCATGGTGATTTTCCATGGCGAACTGTTAAATAACCAGATGGTAAATGATTATCATCCAGAAAACAAGGAATCAGGAAATCCAATTTTAAGTAACCCCTTGAGGATGTTTGAAGGGGAAATTTAGAGGAACCCCCCCTACGGTGGAACCCGGACTTGGCCCACAGGTTCTGTGATCGCTTGTCACTTGAAAGAACTGGAAGTGGACCATCAGGCTTTTTATATCATGTTTACAGAATGTGTGGCTGTTTCCGGTTTCTATATCTGTTTTTTTTCTGGCAGGATGGGTTGAACGCACTAAAGGAATTCTGGCAGATGTTCTGCCTTGATTTCTGTGAGTTGCCAACAGGTCCTGGCGATTTCCCACTTTTTTCCAGTAAACTTTGATAGCCCATGGGATCCATGGTGCTGCTATATATGGTGTGCCATGGATCCCAACAACAAAAACCCCAGTCATGTTAGCATTAATCTACCAGCACCAGCCGGATCCGTCATGGGTAATGAAACATCCATGCAAGGTGGTGCCCCATAGTTAGCTAAGTTGCTCCCATAACTATGGTTTATGGCAGATATAACTATAGTTAATGGGGTTTATAAACCAACTTATAACTGGGGGGCACCATCCTGTGAAAACCCAGATCATTTCCGGAAAACCCCAAGATTTCCATAGGCATTCAGCATTGCTTCAGGACGAGGAAACTGCGGCGGTCCAATGTCCAGATTTTGGCGGCGCCTATGGTGGCTTGGCTGGTTGATCGGAGTTTCGCCAGGAAGTTCAGGTGGTTTCAATGACACAGGGGTGTATATATATATATATAATCATATATATATTTATGGGATTTAATGGGATTTAATGGGTTTTAATGGTGACTTAATGGGATCTAATGGGATTTACTGGGATATACCCTCTGGTTATGACTAACATAGCCATGGTATAGATGACCCATAGAAATAGATGTTTACCTATTAATAGCAGGGTGATTTCCCATGGCGAACTGTTAAATAACCAGATGGTATATATATATATATATAATTATATATATATATTATGTAACTCATGGGATTTAATGGATTTAATGGACTTAGAGGTTTCATTCCCAAATCATCAGTCTGGACTTAATCATATGATATAATATGGGAATTGTAGTTATATATATATATTAATATGTAATGAGACCATTATCAGAGGTATTTGGATGTGTCGGAAAATGGGATGGGCCCCCTAAATGGCAAATTAAATCGCGATACTAATCATGGGTTTTACTGTAAAGCATCGGATTTTTTAGGCTACCCTATTGCAAGATAAATTCAAACTATGAATGGGTCCCTGTAACCTAGTACTGAAACAAGCATGGGACCATGGGGAATACGCCCATGTGGATTGTAAACAATGACTCAGCCGCTAAGCCGCAGTGTGTGATTTCTGACATACTCTCGGAGGGTCGGCTTCACCTTTTAAAATGATCCATGACGAGCATGTGACGAGTATAACACAGTATATTTATATAAATGGAGGTTTCCGAAAATGGGGGTACCCCCAATTATCATCCATTTATAGATGGATTTCCCCTGAAAAAAACAAACCAGCGATAAAGGGGTACCCCCATTTAGGGAAAGCATCATACATAACCCAATATATTTGCCATTGGAAACAGATGGCCTTCGGAGAATGTGGAAGTTGATGTCAGGCACCAGTATAATGGTACCTCAAAATTCAATCAGGGCTGTCCCAGACCTGTGACCCAAAGCTATGCATATTCCAGTTGTATATTGACCACGATTTTGGCTTCATCATTTTAGTTTCATTTATGAATATGTCTTACAGTATGTTTTGTCCTTAATTACTTTCATTGTCCTCGATTGAAATATCTCTAATGCATAGCCATAGTTCTAAACTGTTTATTTTTCTGCATATTTTTCCAGTTGTGTATCATCATTTAGTGACATGGCCATCTATTGAGAGCATCCACCATTTTCAGACACACCTAAATATAATAGTGTTGGTCATATCTCTCCATTATATCATATCCCATACAATATCCGCATGATTGATGATATCCCCATTTCCCATCATTTTCCCATTGAATCCAATCAAATCTATCTCCATACATATCCCATGAAGTCATATCAAGTTCTCAGATGATTTGAACATACATATCTTCGAAGCATAACCCAAGTCCCTCCAATAGCCCAAATGAAAGGAATCCTTTTCTGTATCATCCTTAAGTGGCAAGGGGTATGCTTGCTGCAGGATCTGTTCCAATGAAATATATACCTCAGAAGTCATACAAGTTGGATAATCTCCATATATATATATACATACGTACGTACGTACATACTTACATATATATATATATATATACATAGTAAATAATATATACATATACATAGTAAATAATATATATATATATATGCATATGTGTATATATATATTATTTACTATGTATATGTATATATTATTTACTATGTATATATGTATATATTATACAATTCCCATGAACTTCCAACTCTTGGGCCCTGGAATCTTCCAGCTCCAGGACAGCAGGCCCTGTGCTCGGCCGTGCAGAACACCTTGCACGAGGTGCTTGAGACGATGCCGCAACAAGGCCCGCCACATGGCCGGGGCCGTCGTTGGAGGATGGTTTTATAGGGATAAGATGTACAGGATGGGGCCCCCCCAGTGATGTTTGTTGGTTTATAACCCCATCCATGATTGGATGCTGTTGCTGCCTGTTGGAGCCCCCCAATTTGTCCTTTGGACTTCGAACCAACCAACCAACTATTGTTATTATAGTTATGTTCACCAACTTAGCTAACGAACTGGGGCCCCACTTTGTAGGGACTTATTGGAAGTTCAATGGGTTTAATGAGCAACTGATTGAATTTGGCCAGATCGCGACCAGGAAAACGATGCAGAATTTGGTGAAATTTCCATGTTGTTGATGTTTTTTGGGGAGTATTTTTGGAGGGGGGGTCCTAAAATTTTTGGCCACTCCCAAATCATCGCCATTTGAGTATGTTTTAATTGAAACAACCACGGGCTTCAGTGGTAACCACCCATTTTGGGCACACATATCTAGGGGTTTTCTTAAGATCCGTTTCCCAATGGTTGGTTGATGAAGAACCATATGTTTCTCGCGACCGCTCAGATGCCTGCAACTGAAAGACGATAGTTTCAACTGGAAACAAGTCTTGTTTGAAATGCCAAAAACTTCATGATATGAAAGCATAAATCTGAAGGTATTTCTGAAAATTCTGAGGATTGAGATATACGCTTGCTTTTCTTTAAGGGCAACATGACATGTTCCTTGCCGCTGGCTCAAATCAGGTAGCCGGGATAGGACTCATATTTTCAACAGATTAGCCTTGCCAGAAGCTGGGAACATCTGGGAACTTCAAAATCCACACATGGTGGTGCAGTGCACCCTTCGCAGTTATAAGTTGGTCTATGAATCCCATTTAGTATAGATATAGAATGAAATCTACCATAAACCATGAAATTCACAAATGTTCACCAACTTAGCTAAGGAACTCGTGCAGCACCTTTCAGAAATAATCCCATCCCCCTAATATTAAACATCCCTCTGAAACCATCCTTTAGTAGAGGATTCCCACATATTTGGGACCATAAATATGTATAAATTATGGGGTGTTGAGTATGAACGGGGGATGGAATTAGTCTATTCTGGGGCCTTGGGAAATGATTTGGAGGGTTCCTGAAATGGGGTACTCCTAAATCATCCATTTATAGATGGATTTTCCCTTAAAAACCAACCATTTATTGGGGATCCTAACCTGCCTAAATCATCCATTTTAATAGGATTTTGCATGCCCCATTGATGGAAACCCCCATTTTTACCCATGGATTTGGAGGTAGAAGTTGACTTAACCCATACAGTAACCGCCTGATGGACGCTAGCGGCGCGTGTCGCGCGTGTCGCACGGTGCTGCAGCGCGATGCCGTGGAGTGGATGGAACAGCTGGGGCCGGAAGGATTTCCGGAGAGGGCCTGTGCCTTGATGCGGCAGGTGGTAATGCAATATAGCCATGGAAGATACCATCCTTAATATATATATATATATATATACAAGGTGGGGCCCCCCAGTTATAAGATGGTTTATAAACCCCATTAACTATAGTTATAGGTACCATAAAGCATAGTTATTGGAGTTATTGGCACCAACTTAGCTATCGCACGGGGGCCCCACTTTGTATATATATATATATATACCATCTGGTTATTTAACATAGCCATGGAAAATGATCCATTTATAAAATGTATAAATGATGTTCCCATGAAAACACTTCAAATCCTTGATGGGACTTGATCCAAAATGGAATACCAATAGAATAATATGGGTAAATTATAACGACCTCACTGCGACCTCGCTGGAATCATGGTTAATACTGTAAGGGAAATCATCCCCAAAACGGCCTTAATTCAGGTTAGTGAAATATTATAATTTACCAATATCTATATATATATATGGGATTTAATGGGATTTAATGGGTTTTAATGGTGACTTAATGGGATCTAATGGGATTTACTGGGATATACCATCTGGTAATTTAACATAGCCATGGAAAATGGCCCATTTATAGATGGTTTACCTATTAATAGCATGGTGATTTTCCATGGCTATGTTAAATAACCAGATGGTATATATATATATATATTACAGCTGGTTGGTGGTTTGGAACATGAATTATATGTTTCCATATATTGGGAAGAATCATCCCAACTGACTAATCAGAGGGGTTGAAACCAACCAGTCTATATATAATATATAACAGGTACTGGGTTCATGTCGTTTCTTGTCTCGTCTCCCCTGAAGTTGTCTCAGGTCGGTGTGCCGTGGGGAAGTGTATAAAAGATATATATGACATTATTATTCCATTGGATCATTGCTTATTGTAAGACCACAAAACGCATAGGCACGCTGAATTTCACCAACATGAACCTTCCATTTGTAGTCACTAACATTCTTATGGTTTGTTTGTCCATTGCAGGGCACACAACGCAGGGGTACACTGGTTGTCATAAACATGTTTGTTTATTACTTGGTTTGATACTTGTGACATCCAAACGCAGTGGCAGTGGCATGCTCGGTCAAAGAGAATATGTGACACTGGGTAATTCAAGGATTTTGTGCAGCACAACAGATCTTGTGCCATCAGCGGTGTGCCTGCCATTTGGTGCTAGTGGGTTCAAGTTTGGGAGCTGGGTCGATGTTGTCGTGGCAATTGTATACCCCGCCTTGTTTGCCAAGCTTGCGTCCCTTTGTCTCCCCTCTGTCTCCTTTACTCGCCCTTTGTCTCCTCTTCTGTCTATTAGCTCTTGCCTGCAGCTGCTGCTTGGCTTGGTTTCCTCTTCTGCTCCACCGCTGAAAGCTCTTGAGTTTTATTGTTCTGAAAAGAATGCGAAAGCGTGTGGCTACCAAAGAGTCTGTCAGGAGACTTAGGGGTCAGTCTCCCAAAATTTGCTTTCGGACCTCGTTCGGACCTCGTTCGCACCTCGTTCGGACCTCGTTAAAATTGCAGCCAATCAAAACCCAACTCGGAGAGGTTTTGGAAAGGCTTTGCAATGGTCTACTGCTTGGTCTGCTGCTGCTGCTGCTGTTGTTTCTGAATTAGTCCACTTTGACCGTCGGTGTGCCAATAGGATTTCCACCTGGCGGAAGATTATTGATGTCTGGCGTAACGGTGTGCCATGCGGCTGGCGCAAGTTCTAGTAAATGGCGTAGGATCACGCCGGGGCTCGGGTCAGGGATGCTTTGCACGACTTATTTGGCACTAGGTGTGCCATTGGGAAACAGATAATTAAACTACCGAAATCAAACGAATCCATGTCCAGAGACATGACAAGGAAACGGGGCGTGTGCTGCAGAATTGGTTACTTTTCTCATTTGGATAGAAGGCAGCTGTTTTGCTGTCAATGCATCTGTGCCAATGGTGGTTGCTTACTTTCGACATGTTTTTATTACCAAAGGAGATGGTATTAAATATGTGGTTCGCAATGGCACGGACACATTTTAAATACTTTGTTTGCCAAACCAATGATGGAATGGTACCAGTGTGCCAATAGGATTTGGTCCCTGGGGTAACTTCCGTTTGGCCTGGGGTAACCCTGTGTGCCATTGGGATGGGGTAACTTCTGGTTGCCTGGGGTAAGAAACAACGTCCGCCCAGTACTGTGAATACTATAAATGGGCAATTTTTCAATAGCTATTTTGGAATTACTGGAGGGCAAGTTTCAATCCCTTTGTTTGGATGGGATGAGGCTGGGATTTGTTTTGCTGATGATAAAATCCGCCCGCACCGAAGGTGCTGGGGCGTGATCTTCCGGATGGCACTCGTAAAAGGTTACAGGTTTACCTGGGGGGGGGGGGGCCATTTTTCGGCCAAAACCTCCTGTTTTTGATAGGTCGTGACGCTCGCCTTCAAAAAACACTGTAAAAAACAGTACGGAAGACACCTGTTCGTGAACGCGCCCGTCCAAAATCGGCAAGCGAAAAGTGAAAAAAACCCGTGTTTTTCAACTTTTTGACCTCAATTTTTTGGTTTGCAACATCTTTTTTTGCGGTTCCGCAGGTGGCCGGGCCCGGAGGCGGATTTTTGAGTTTTTGGACCCGTTTTCGGACTGATTTTCGTCGTTTTGTGATAGCAGAAACACTGGTTTTTACAGTGTTTTTCTGTTTTCTGCATGCTTGACGGCTAGCTTCAAAACTTCCAAAAACCTCGTAAATTACGCTGTTTTATGTTACGGTGTGAATGAAAACATCGTAAATACCAGTGTTTTTTGACGTTGGTTAAAAAAACACTGTAAATTACAGTGTTTTTGGCCACCTGACCCTCAAAAACCATGGTATTTGCAGTGGTTTCTGCTTCTCACCGCGCAAAAACACTGTAAATAACAGCAATTTCGCCGTTTTTTCATGTTTTTCGTTATTTTTTGAACTGCGTTGGTCCGCTATACATGGCTATCAAATTCTTCGCGTTTTTTTTCCGACAATCAGTACTTTCGGATGTTTTTGGTCTCAATGGCCGACATCATTGGCAGTTACGAGCGGCTGCCCAACGATGCGGTGCGGGCGGTTGCCGTCGCGAAGCGACGTGAATATGATCATTACTTTACGATTGGTGATCCAGCTCAGTAAGCAAGTAGGTCACCTGGTTCGTGTGAGAATTGCTATATGGATCCAGCTTGATGAACTGCTGTTGAAGAACTGGGGAATATCTACAGCAGATGGGGCCGATAAACCAACTTATAACTAGAAGGAATATCGAAAGAATGGCTATGGACCAGTTGATCCTGGTTTATGCCTTTCACATCAAAAGTTCGCTGGGGATTTTTGGATGTTCATCCCTCCAATGCCATGTATAGATCCGTATAGGGTTCCAACTCATCCCCTGGGCAATGTGGGATCCACCCAATGCCAACCGGGGGAATATTTTGATGCCAGTCATAGGGGAAAAACCACTTATAAAACCAAAATTGGGGATGGTTCTTTCTTGGCTTACCTCATTACCTGGTGATTGGTGGTTCCTACTTGCCCTGCGAAACGTACATAAAGTTAATAGCTATTTACTAACCGGGGCGAAACACCATCTATAGCATACATTTTGCGTTTTCCTTGAGGGTATATACCAAATTTTGACCCACACAGATTGGTACAGGATGGGGCCCCAGTTATAAGTTGCTTTATAAACCATTATAACTACCCTCATTAACTATAGCTACAATATGTATATATATATACTATAAACCATAGTTAAGCCACTTTATATAAGGCAACTTAGCTATCTTGGGGGCCCCATCCTGTAGTGGAATATATAAGTGTTCTCTCTTTGTGGACCCTTTTCTGAGGATAGCATCGGCAGAGCACTGTCGATTGATGAGCAATTCGATAGGATTTAACAATCATTTCATACGCCGTATGATAAATGCTGGTTGGTTGACGATTGTAGGGAATTATACTACCCAATATATTGAGCATTATCAAGATTCATTGAACTGTGAATCCCGTTCTAAACCAACCCGCATTTCACGGAATGACGGAGGGTTTGGAACACTGCTCATACGGATTTGCAAACAGATTGCAGTGAATAACATGCATCAGAATATGTGCTGGGGAAATTCTGTCGACCTCATTTACGACCTTGTTATTTGCAGTGTTGTTCACCAGGACGAACCCACAAGAGTTTGAAATCAGAATGGTATATAATTATTCAGTGTATTTTGCTTCAAAATGCAGCTAATTTTCATAGTTTCTACATGATTGCATGTAAATATGTAGTTGCCATATTTCTACCGCTTCTTTTGGTAATGCTAACAACCAGGGGAGTAAAGTTCAGGAATTGTGCCAGCTATGCAGGTAATCAAGGACACATGATCTATCACTACGAATTCATGACACAATTCCGGATACATTGAGTAGTATAACCCCCGATAGCCATCAACCAACATCTATCATATTAATCCAACGATGGCTAAATGCCATAAAGTATTCACCCGTTCAACCAAGCTTCTTTCAACATGATTCAAGAGGTGGTTTTTTTGGTTGCTCCTGTCAGACTCAGGTGTGGTGACTTCACTGCCAGACTGGTCTGAATTGAAAAAAGGACAGAAAGTGTCTTTAAAGCATTACCTGGATTGGTTCCAGAAGGCCTTGCGCGCAGCTGGGTGAGCTGGGTGGGTTTCCAAGGACATGTTACATTGTAGGACATAAAAAAGGTCCAACTGTAACTGGTTTCATACGACTGCTTTTCCCTATGAACAAATGCGAATATATTTATATATATATATATATATTATCATTTTTCAAGAGCAATGCTCTAATGGCTACCTTTTTCAGGTACGGTTTGGACAAAACTACAGGTACGGTGAACAGGGTACGCATGGTACGGGACATGGGTGCGTAGGTGCGGCACATGGGTACGTAAGTATGGTACTGGGTACAATACCCATGTACCGTACCCACCGTACCCACCATACGTACCCAGTTAGCGACCGATCTAGCAACCGATTTTTAAAGATAAAACATGTTTTTAAGTTTTTGTTTATAATAACGTTCAAAAGATATATTAAAAAAATTGGTTGCTAGATCGGTCGCTAACTGGGTACGTATGGTGGGTACGGTGGGTACGGTTCATGGGTACGGTACATGGGTACGATGGGTACGGTGGGACGGTAGACTTGTGCTGTACATCGGTACGGTGGCACGGTACATGGGCACGGTACATGGGTACGGTACAATAGGTACGGTGCCCGCACCCAAACATTTACCCAACACCCGTACCCGGTACCCAATACCAATTCCCGTAACCGTACCCAACAATACCCAACACCCGTACCCGTACCCAACACCCGCACCCAACACCCGTACCCAACACCCGTACCCGTACCCAACACCCGTACCGAACATCCGTACCCGTACCCGTACCTATAGAAATGACCCCTCGTACCCTCCGTAATAGACTCAATAGAGAAGCATGGTTTCATTGCTTTCAAAAATTGATAATATATATATATATATATCATCCCATCCCCCATTCATATTAAACAGCCACATTCTATGGTCCCAATTCTATGGTTTCATCCCCTCCTAGACCATGGTTTCTGTTTCTTTTCATATGAACGGGAAGTTCTTCATAGTTCTTCTTTTTGACATGTTTTGACTCATGGATGTTCGATCCAGGAATCCAGGAATCCAGGACCTCCAGGACCTTGGGGGAACATCACTGGGTGCCACGACGCCAGGCAGTTCAATTCATCTTCCACTGCTGTCAGCAAGGCACTTTGGTCACTGGGATTCGATCCAAATGAACGCGGGAAAGCGGAGGACTGGGACTCATTGCTGGATAGAACTTGTAGAAATATGTAGTCATCTGGGAGTAGAATATGGAAATTTGAACAAATCCATGGGAATATGATAATCTGATATAATATGTTTGAACGTTCCATATTCTCTACTTGAGGATAATTATATGTTTACAGTGTATATCTGTATATCATATATCCATTGAATTTCCTTATTGCAGGTCATACCCATTAAAATACCCATTAAGTACCCCTTAAATACAAACCCTCATAAGTGTGATCAGTAACCGAATCGAGTAATCTTGAGACTGAGACTTAAGCAGTGTCACATGCTGATGAAAAACTGAAGTACTCGTAGACCAACAGTGTTTACCACCATTGTTTCCTTCTCCTCCGTTCCCAAAAGACTAGATACTCAGATGGGTGATATGCCGGAACTAGCTAACTGGTTATATAGCAAGTGGGTTCTAGTTATATCAGTTACCCTCTGGTTATTTAACATTGCCATGGAAAATCCCTGACAAATGGAGGTTTCTAGCTGGGAAAATCATCTGAGCAAGAGGCTAAACTCTCCGTGTAGGAGGTATGTATTCGAGCGATCTGTCATGTAAAAATATGCATCTTGATATGTAAAATGATATAGTGAAGTCCCAAAAACGATAACATGGGAATCATATCATATGTGAAAGCATTGTGGGAAGTGAAGGGGTTGTGTACATGACATGATGGTGGATACCTTTTCTAGAAGCATCTAGATCATCTAGGCTCTCAGTTGTGGGGTACACGTCATGCCCAGCTCACACAACGAAAGATGTGCAAAAGTATGCTGACACTCTTGATCCTGGCCAATTTCTTTATTTCTGATTGCTGCAAACGGTTTTGTATCCAATCACGTATTGTTATGTGGTAACTAGCTGGATTTGGATGCTCTTTTTGTCTCGCCATTGTTCAAGCCTTTCGGATGAGTTCCGCGCTTTCATGCAAGCAGTGACGATGACAACAGGTATCCTTTCCAACTTTCCTTGGTTCATGCCATTTTCCCAAAAATGTTTCCCTCTTTGAACGATAACGAAAACGATAACTAAACGATAACCATTTCTTGACAAAATGTCCTTCGCTGATGGATGGCCCAGATGCCAAAAGATTCTTGAGATGATCCTTTGCCGTGTAATATTATCACTTGCTCATTGCGATCTTTTCGCTGCTATGCATATTCTTTTGCAGCGCTCCATTGCTTTAGTCAATCCCGGTTCATCTCGGGCACAACTGCACCTGCAGGTCCGGTTTGACGATCTTTATCCTAGATGAAGATAGCCAAGGCAAAGGCGTTGGACCAGGTCGATGGTTTGCTGCGCAGACGATGGCGAGTGAATGGAAGGCATGGAGCATGTCGCTGTGAGAGCTCACCCGGGTTTCCTCCAACAAACTGAATTCAAAGCTGTTTCTGAGCTGGAGAAAGGATGGTGCAACTGTGATTTGCAGTTGCGTTGGCAGGTATCACACGACACCCACCATACAGTTGAAGCGCTGGAACAGAAAGCGCAGGGCAGTCAAAGATGCCCAAGACGCGAAGTGGAGGTGTAAAAAGGCTTTCCGCATGCAGTTTGCCAGGGGATGCGGATGATGCAATCAGGATATACTGTAAAACGATATAGTGAAGTCCCAAAAACGATATGACCCGAAGATCGCATTTTTCAATTGAGGTTTTGCCGATCGCTCATCTATAAATGGGCCATTCCCCATGGCTATGTTAAATAACCAGAGGGTATATCCCATTTAACTGGACTAACGACTTAGCTCATTGTGGCAACATCTAAGGTCATTTTTTTGCAGACTGACATCATGACTGGTGGCCAGTGGATTGACAAAGCTGCCCTGATTTGCAAAGAGGCCGATGCAGCAGGCAGGGCATGGCAGGGCTCCGGGCGAATCTGAACTACCAACCACCAATCAGGGCTTACCCTCTGGTAATGATCCCCTAGTGATTTCATGGGATTTTTGGGGATTGAATGGGATTTTATAGTGATTCAATGGGATATTAATGGAATATACCCGGCCTGGTAAACATACAAAAAGCTATTGAACATGGCCATAGAAATAGTGAGTTTTCCCATTAAACATGGTGATTTTCCAGTTCGTTATGTAAACGTTTACCAGAGGGTAACAACAGTTGAACCATGACAGCAAACGACACGAACCCTGAGACATCCTATGACGCATAAAATCATTGGCCATGCATAGAGAGGAAACTGATGAGACGCTTTGAGAGACAATTAACTTACCAGGAAAAATGTTGTTCACCGTGCGAGGATGACACGTCACTGTTGTCAGAATCTGTGGATGTGTTTCGCAATTATGACGATTGTGATTATTTGTTGATATTACTATTACGTGTTTAAATCTGCATCATAAAATTGTTGCAATAATTATATATTAGTACTCGTATGATTGATACTATCAACACTATTATCATTTGTCCTTACGGTGCCTATCCAATAATTGTCCCGGGGGCATCTTTTGCCCTGACCTAAATACCTAAGTTGACGTTTCTCGGCCACAAATACGGTATATCGCATTGTAACTCTCGTTACTTGGGGTTATAAACCAACTGATAACGGGGGGTGAAGCACCAAAGCAGGCTTGTTGATCTTATTTGTAGCTCGATGAAACCAACCCAACTCAAAGAACCTGATATCATGAGTAATTATTGATAAACCAGCATCATTAATGTCAACCCTGGATGAATAAACCCCTGTTTACGGCTGTGACTAATTGGGAGAGTAGCATAAAAAAGTATTAGATGAAATGACTATTGGAGGAGTACCCCCCTAATTGTCATAAACCATGGTTTAGCAAAATCCGGGGTTGACAACTATTGTTGTCGGTATTTCTTCATATCCTGCCAGATCGATCCTCCAAGATTTCGGTGACGAGGCCAGATCCTCTTGTGGCACAAGATCACCTTTGATCCCGACGCGGTGGAAATGCCGCGCCGCGGTGCTAGTGCCCTGGTTGAAGGCTAGCTGCGAAACCACCACGGAAGGCCCCTGGACATGGACCCTTTCAGTTTAAGTTTCTTTGCGGTCCAAGGTTAGGGCTGGGGTTCGATCTTAAAAGTAGGCTTTACAATATCTGGTTGGTGATTTGGAACATTTTTTATTTTCCATATATGGGATAATCCCAACCCCATTGACGAACTCATATTTTTCAGAGGGGTTAAAACCACCAGCCATGGGAAATGGCCCATTTATAGATGGTTTACCTATTGCAAATTATGATTTTCCATATGTTAAATAACCAGATAGTACAATATCTACCCTCTGGTAATTTAACATAGCTATTGAACATGACCATAGAAATAGTGGATATTCCCATCAAACATGGTGATTGTCCACAGTTATGTAAACGTTTACCAGAGGGTAAATCACCATTAATCACCATTAATTATCATTATCAACCACTATTAATCACTATTAATCACTATTACCAGAGGGTAAACCTCCGTTTTCCTGTGGCCTTTCTATGGTTGGCCCACCAACAGTGCAATCTCTCTGAGGTGCCGACTATTCGCACCTCTTGTGCTTCATCAAGCCGCGGCGCCACGGCCACGGGCGCCAGTGCGATGGGCGCTCGGCCGGCTCGGCCTTTGACGCCAGGTGCAGCGTGCCGGATTTGCTTCCGCGAGGTGTGGATGGATTTGATGTGATTTTAGAGCGATTTCATATGATTTAATGGGTATTTCATGGTATTTCGTGGGATTTATTGGGTTTTAATGGGGCTTTGATAGAATTTCATATGATTTACTGGTATTTCGTGGAATTTATATGAATTTATTGGGTTTCCATGGGGATTTATTGTAATATGATTTCATATGATTGAATGTGAATTGGGATATTTACCAACTATAATCAACTAATGTGATTTGGGTGTGCTGAAAATGTGGTTATACATTATACCTCCCACAATTGCCATTGGGGAGAATGATGATTAACCAACCAGTGGATATAGATGGATATAGGGATGCCCTATTTTCAGGCAGTAAGAATTGCTACATGTCTGAGTCAAACTTGCAGGTCCAGTTAGCCACATAAGTGCGGTGATGTGTAGTGTTTGGTCATGATTTAGCAGTCAAGCGTTTCAATTTTTACCCAATGACCGACATCGAGCAAAAAAGACGCTCGGATTGATAGACATGGATTCTTGATTCGAACATAGATTATACATAGATTATAGTTGCTGGTTTTATATTGGTAGACTCAATCTAAACTTTGAAGATGGTGCGATTGACGAAGGGCCCACCGCCCAATTGGTGCTCCGGGGCAGGTCGCAAAGTCTACGCCCAAGGTATGGGAACTGAGGCCCTTTCTCGGATACTTCGCTGGGTCGTGGCGCAAACAGATGTCCAGGTGGCCAAGTTATGAAAACGTGCAGTGTAACACGATGTGTATACCCATATGTTCCATGGTGCTGGAATATGAATCCATATATGACCCAGTTTTGTAGGTAAATATATGTAAATATTCCAGCACCATGGATCCATCATGGGATAGCATGATCACAACAAAATGATGTGTTCTATCCTTTTGGGGGTTGCGACAAATGGCTATATGATGTATATATATATATAATTTGGAGTGGTCAATATCGTGATTTAATCCTATTAAAATCCCATGAAATCTATATTTTATGGTGATCATAACTATACACACACACATATATATATATATTTGTGATGATATTTCAAGCTGCCGAAATCGAAAACAAGCCGGCTTGTCGAGCATGTCTGGCCAAGAATTCACTTGACCTGAAGGACTTGAAATGTGATTTTTGGCTCCATCTAGCCATATGGGGGGTTCCATACATGGGGGTACCCCAATAGCTGGATGGTTTATAATGGAAAATCCCATCAAAATGAATGATTTGGGGGTACCCCTATTTCAGGAAACCTCCATATCTAGCTTCTACCTTCTGATAATCTCACTTAGGCAACGGAACATCCCCCATCTACATTCTGTTTATGACTGATATTCCCATGAAACAGCTATGGTATCGGTATGAATGAGTCAGAGTCACTGAGTTGTTTGTCAGCTAGCCATGTTTTATTCCGTACGAGGAGGTGCCTCATAGCTAAGTTGGTTTATAAATTGCAACTGCTTTGACCAGGATGTATGTTAGGTATATATAACTATGTAAAGTTGATCTAGTTTTGTCATGGAGTTTATAGGCCAACATGTAACAAACATAACTGAGGGGCAACACATTGATTTACACCATGGTGACTGACGTGACGTGCAAGGTGGTGATTGATCCCTTTTGCGGTCGCGGCACGGTACTGGCACTCGCGAACGAACTGGGCGTTGCAGCGCTGGGGGTTGACGTGGATGCAGCATGTGTCAAGGCGGCCGAAAGGCTTGACATACTCAAACTGAGGGCAGCAGAAACTCAGGTGAAATATGGCGAAACTGAATCCTGTCAAACTTGCTATAGAATATCTAAGCGGATAGTACATAATGGCAATTTCATGTTGAAATTCAAATTGTCAATGGATTTCTGTGATGTCAGACTTCTGTGATGTCAAACTTGTAGATGCAAATGTGGACATGCGTATGGGTAAAAACAGCACCGGGATCAAATGATGCCTGACACCTCTGAGGATTTGGGATGCCAAAACAGGAGGACATTCCATCACGTGTATTCATTTGTTTCAATCTATGTCAAAGTTACCCACTGAACATACAAAACGCTCGGATTTACCCATTCAAAATGGTGATTTTCCGTTATGTAAACGTTTACCAGAGGGTACTTGAACCAGGACAGGTTTACCCCAAATCACTCTGGATCCGATCCCAGGATAGCATGCACCCGGTGGCCTACTATTTGCAACGGGCTGCGGATGGGCGGGGAAAGAAATCCAAGTCCGAGATGTGTCAGATGAAAGACACAACTTCGACAGAACTTCAGATCAAAAAAACAGGTCAATTTCTGAACAGTCTTGAGGCTTCTGAGGGATTCTGAGGGATTCTGAGGCTGTTTGAGGCTCCCTAGAAACTGCCAACAGGCCATGCAACAGCAGGATTCATCAAGCTATGGTGCCTGGCTGACAGATCTGGTGTCAACGTTTTGGCCAGTTTGGTCAAGGGGCGAGAGAAGAGCTTCGATGAGGAGAATGGATTCTGTGTTGCCATGTTGGGTGGGGAAATGATGAACCACCGTGAAGACGACATAGGCCACTGTATAAACTATAAATCTATAAACCACCAAATGATAATCCACTACAAAGACCCTTTCTATCTATATATATATATATAATTATATACATATGTATACTATATATATATATGTGTGTATACAATATGTGTATATATATATATTGTATATATATATATATGTAAAGCACTATGTAAATCACAATACCAGGAATGTTGGGTTTCCAAACTTTTGAGACAAAGCCGTGTGGACTGGACGTGTCTCCGACAGCGTGAGCAGTGGCAGTGATCGGAGACGGTGGGGTTGCAACGAGACCATGACATGCGATGCCGAGAGCAGAAACAGCGGGAAAAAGTCAGGGGTAAACACCGGTAAGAAGCATGGAATTGACCTGATTTATATATATATATATACTATAATATAAATACATATATATATATACTATGATATACTACAATATACTATAATATATATATATATATACTATAATATTCTATACTATAATATATTTTAAGATACTTTAATATACTATAATATACTATAATATACTATAATATATATATATACATTTGATTTCCACCGATTTCTCAAGTTTTCAATCTGGCTAGATCTCTGGAGGAGTGATATTTTTGAATAATGCAATGTTCGTATTAACGATCCCCCCAGAAGGTCTAGATCCATGAGAAGGTATTCACCCCCAAATAATCGGCAGCAAAACCAAAGATGGGATTCATGAGATTTGGAATTGGATTCATGATATTTAGTATGAGAAATGCTTTGAATCCATTGGTTTTCCACTGGGTTTCCATTGGTTTCAATTGGTTTTTGAATCCACACATTAGGATACAGTATTCCAGAAGGGTGTTTTTAAACAGGAGGTGACCACCCATGTTGATTAATATGGAGGGACCAGCCCAAAGTAGTACTGCCAACAATTTGTTGGACTGTGGGTGTTCATTCATTCCGGGGTGATTATTGCAATGATTTGCTGGTTGGTGGTTTGCAATATTTTTTATTTTTCCATATATTGGGAATAATAATCCCAACTGACTAATAGTTTTCAGAGGGGTTGAAACCACCAACCAGTTTACAGATGTTAACAGTTTTAGCGACTTGAACTGCTTCGGGTATCGCTTATGGCTGGACCAATTTGGACCCCTGGCAGTGAGCACACCACGTCCAAGCTGACACCGTTGTTTGGGGTTCAGCAGTATACCGTTGTTTTATATATAATATAATATAATATAATAATATTATATTATATTATATTCTTTTGTATTGTATTGTATTATATTATTTTATTTAATATCATATTAATTATATTTTATTATATTGTATTGTATTTTATTTTATTGTATTATATTATGTTATATTTTTTTGTATTGTATTATATTATTTTATACTATACTATATTATATTTTATTTTATTATATTTTATTATATATATATATATATATTATATATATATATTCACCCCATGAATCGCAATTGGGTTATAATTCCAGAAAAAAGTAGGGTAAGTCGGAATGTCCAGTTGCAACTGGGGTTATAACCCATGGGGTGAACCACACGACTTGGTGTCTTCAGATCTGGGCGCAGCGTCCTGAGAAACATCAACGATCGTGGTGCATACCTTGAAATCCGCAAAGCCAGAATATCATCACTTGGTTTTGACCACTTATGAAGCTACATAGATATCTTTAGATAACATTCCCCATGTCAACCCAGGATACATAAACTCCTCGTTGGCTTCAATGTCATTTGGGGGGGTCAGTTTGATCCTACTCACGTTTGGGGGGCTAACCATCCCTAATTAATCATGCCATACCATCGCAATTGTCATTGTCATTGCAACATTGCCATACGTATACATATACAATCATGTATATATATATATATTTTTTTTTATATATGTCATATAGAACTATGTATGTAGACACTCATATTTACCAGTGCTCAAACATGGCAATGGACAATCATCATGTTTAATACTGGTTGGTGGTTTGGAACATTTTTTATTTTCCCCAATAGTTGGGATGATGATCCAATCTGACTAATATTTTTCAGAGGGGTAGGTCAACCACAAATTAGAATACCTTCATCCATAGATCGGCCATTTTCTTTTCAGCTCCGTGGCGCAGGTGACGCCTTTCATCGGCTGAGGAGAGCTGGTTTTTTTGGCTTAGTGGGACCATTTGGCCATTAAAACTTGGATTTTTCCCGAATGCGTAGCAAGGGTTCCCGTTTCACTCTGGGGGTCTGGGGGTTGAGGGTGTGTTCGCTCGACGTTGCTTCCGCGTCCGCAACCGTTCGCAACCGTCCGCAACCGTCCGCAACCGTCCGCGTGAGGACCGTATGGCCGTGCCTATGGGAAGTTTTGCAGAGGTGGTCCTTTTTGGCGGTTTCAGACAAGTCGTTGCTTCGTTTTGCGTGGCAGGCGTGGCACTTCGTGACATTCAGACGTGTTCTGGAACGTGTCGAAAGTCGTTTTGCGTGGCAGGCGCAATACTTTTGTGACGTTGTCAGAAGATGTGTTGCAGTTTTCGTGGCAGGCGCAGCACTTTGGACGTGTCCATCGTCATTTTTCGTGGCAGGCGCAGCACTTTAGACGTGTCGTGTTGCGTGTTTTTTGCAAATCGCATTGGCAGGGCTGCGTCAAGTGGCGACAAGGCGCAAATTCCGTGGCAGGCGTGGCATTTTGTGACATGTGCTGAAAATTGACGGAAGCCTCGCACGAAACATCGATTTTGAGGTTGCAAATTTTCAGCTTCTAAGGAAAACTCGTAGGAAAACGTCGATTTTGAAGCTGCAAAGTGTCAAAATTGGAGGAAGTCTCGCACGAAATGCTCGTTTTGGTGCTCCCACGTGTCTCGTCTCGAGTCTCTGGTTTTCCCGTGGCTTCGCCGTGTCTATGGGGGAAGCTGCAAAACCTGTCCTTTTGTTATGTTGCCAACTGTGAAAATCGCCGGAGGTCTCGTACGAAATGATTGTTTTGGTGCTCCCACGTGTCTCGTCTCGAGTCTTTGGTTTTCTTGTGGCTTCGCCGTGTCTATGGGGGAAGCCGCAAAACCTCTCCTTTTCGAAGGTTTCCAAGGAAGTTGTCATGTCGTTTTGCGTGGCAGGCGTGGCACTTTCTGACATTCCAACCTGTTTGAAATTGGAGGAAGTTTCGTACGAAATGCTGTTTTTTCTGCATCCACGTGTCTTGTCTCGACTCGAGTCACTGGTTTTCCTGTGGCGTCGCCGTGTCTATGGGGGAAGCTGGAAAACATCTCCTATTCGAATGTGTCCAAGCAGGTTGTCATGTCGTGTTGCGTGGCTGGCGTGGCACTTTGTGACATTCCAAACTTGTTTGATAACGTGTCGAAAATATCAAAATTGGAGGAGGTCTCGCACGAAATGCTCGTTTTTTTGCTCCCACGTGTCTCGTCTCGAGTCTCTGGTTTTCCTGTGGCGTCGCCGTGTCTATGGGGGAAGCTCCGCGCTCCACACTCTACACTTTACACTCCACAATTTACACTTTAGACTCCACACTCCACTTTACATTTTACACTCCTCACTCCACACTCCTCACTCCACACTCTATACTCCACACTCCCCACTTACACTCCACACTCCACACTCTACCCTTTCCACTCCACACTCCGCACTCCACACTCCACACTTTACGCTCCTCACTCCACACTTTACACCACACTTTACACTCCTCACTCCACACTTTACACTCCTCACTTTACACACAACACTCCACACTCTACACACCACACTCTACACTTTCCACTCCAGACTCCACACTCTACACTTTACGCTCCAGACTCCACACTCCACACTTTACACTCCACACTTTACACTTTACACTCCACACTCTACACTTTACACTCTACACTTTACACTCTACACTTTACACTCTACACTCCACACTCTACACTTTCCACTCCAGACACCACACTCTACACACCACACTCTACACTTTCCACTCCACATTTCACACTCCACACTACACTTTACACTCCACACTCCACACTTTACACTTTACACTCCTCACTCCACACTCTACACTCCACACTCCCCACTTTACACTCCTCACTTTAGACACCACACTCTACACTTTCCACTCCAGACTCACTCCACACTTTACACTCCTCACTTTACACTCCACACTCCACACTCCACACTTTACACTCCTCACTCCACACTCTACACTCCACACTCCACACTCTACACTCCACACTCTACACTCCACACTCCACACTTTACACTCCTCACTCCACACTTCACACCACACTTTACACTCCACACTCCACACTCTACACTCCACACTTTACACTCCACACTCTACACTTTACACTCTACACTATACACTCTACACTCCACACTTTACACTTTACACTCCACGCTTTCCACTTTACACTCCTCACTCCACACTTTACACTCCACACTTTACACTCCACACTCCACACTCTACACTTTACACTCCACACTCTACAGTCCACACTTTAAACTCCACACTCCACACGCCACACTCTACACTTTCCACTCCACACTCCAAACGCTACACTCCACACTCTCCACTTTACACTCTACACTTTACACTCTACACTTCACACTCTACAATTTACAAACTCCACACTCCTCACTCCACACTTTACACTCCTCACTTTACACTCCACACTCCTCACTCCACACTTTACACTCCACACTTTACACTCCACACTCTACACTTTACACTCCACACTCCACACTTTACACTCCACACTCCACACTCTACACTTTACACTCCATACTCCACACTCTACACTTTACACTCCGCATTCTACACTTTACACTCCGCATTCTACACTTTACACACTCTACACTCCCCACTCCACACTTTACACTCCACACTCCTTACTTCACACTCCACACTCCACACTCTACACTTTCCACTCCACACTGCAGACTGGTAACAAGGGAAACATGTACAAGACTATTCAAATAAACTATTGCAGAAAGGTATTGTGCGTGACTGCATAACCATGTGTTTTGACATCTGTACCATTAACATACGTGTGAGCATTCGGGTTCGTGGGCTTCATCTTGTTTCACCAATGAGTGAACATTGGGGTATACAAGTAAACATGGGTATATAATATAATCAACAATATGTATTGAAATGGGAACAATATGGTATATAATCACAAACATATTTATGGTTTATAATAATAATATGAGATGGGTTGATGTGTAAACAAAATCCCGTGGTTGATCGTTATTTCCTTGTTGAAATTACAATCTTTGGGCTATAATTACGGTATACCTACTGTATACCCAATCTTTGGACAAACCCAGATATTCTTTGAATCAGACCACAAGGAGTGAATTTACTAGTTTTTTTGCGAAGAAATAAAGGAGGATATGAAGCAATCAGAGTTTGTGCAACCATACCATGGGATGTAAAACCTGATATGACATGGCATGCTATGACCATCTTACTGGATGAACAGAAGGGCACCAGCCTCTTGATCCACAACCTCATGGGTCTGTCAAAAAGGGACGTAATACCTCCAAAATAGCATTCTAGATAGGGTACATTAAGAACATAATATAATGTAATATAATTAATACAATCATATATATAACATATATATTTTCAGACGAAACCACGTTTGTAACCTGATGTTTTTCACTGTGTACGTTTTCCATGGGTCAGTTGCCATTGTCTAAATGGAAATACTTTCAATTAGTGCATCGTTTGCAGTCGACTTCTCAATGATCTTAATTTGGCTAACCATTTGGGTTTGTCCAGAAGCGGGCTATACCGGTGTATCCCTTAATCATCCTTAATCTCATTTAATCTCCAGTTCAGTGGCCGAAATGAAACCATTGTTTTTTTTTGGTACGCTAGTTTCGCACAAACATATTTGTGCCTGAGACTTTCATGCTTACTTCATTACTTCTAAAGTCAGTTTGAATGGTGGTTCCCATATTTACAGTCGGCTCTTGCAATAGTAAGCTCGGCTAGGGCGGCGTCGACCATGGTGAACCTAAGTTTATTTAGTTTTACGAACATTTTTTTGGTGGTTAAACACAGAGGCATATATTTATATATACATCATATACGTATTTTATATATATATACATATATATATATATAAACTTTTTACATATTGTATATAGTTATATATATATATATGTGATTGTATATGATAAACATTGATAAAAATAGACAAGAACCTGGTGAAGTCGCAGGAGCTCGGTCCATTTCAAAGAGCGCCCTGGCGATGCCGTGGGGTGAGGATCAGTGAGGATTTCATCACAGATGACGAGTTACCCGGGGTTTCCCCATGGAAAATCACAATTTTTAATCGGAAAACCATGGGAAAATTATGATTCATATGTTTTTTAATGGGGAAACCATGGGAAAACCATGGGAAAATGATGATTTATATGGAAAGATCCATTATTTTTAGTGGTAAATCCACGAACTAATCACCATTTTCAATAGCGAACTGTTTGTCTACCAAAGGGTACCCTTTTTGCTACCCGTTCGATGATATGGGGATGATCATCATCCATTTTTGGAAATCCGTTCTTAGCCATGTGTCATTCCTTGAAGGGAAATTCCAGAAATTGATGGATGAGAAGATCACAGCAGAATGCTTCTATTCTGGAGTTTTGGGAATGTGAAGCAGCATCATGTGCTATGTAATCCCTTCCCCCTAGTAGTAAATACCACCAAACCCAAAATGATTGGATCCAGGACAGCAGCAATCGTTGAACCCTGAGGACCTTCGCAAAAAGTGGAATTCTGGTCATTTTTCTGAGCTTTCAACTTTGATTTGATTCCATTTTGGAAAAAATGTTCCAAGTTAACCAAGTTAAGTGTTCATCACATCTTAACATCTTTCGGTTCTGGATGGTCCAATGATTGACAAAAAAACATCATGGTCCGCATGGAAAAAACTTCAAGTCCTTGATGGGACTTGATCCAAAATGGAATACCAATAGAATCATCTGGGTAAATTATAACGACCTCATTGCGACCTCACTGGAATCATGGTTAATAAGGGAAATCATCCCGAAATGGCCTTAATTCAGGTTAGTGAAATACTATAATTTACCCAGAATAATTGATTATCCTTGTTCATTGGTAAAACATCTTTCGTGAAGGACTAATGGTAAAGAAAAACAACACGATGGATCCCTTCATTGTTTGGACAAAGGAACCCATTGACCCATGGCCCAAGGACCTTGGTGAAACTCGGCACTGAGATGGTCGAACCCTTGAGCGGGCACTTCGAAGATTTGCGGCAAAATAGCTCGGTGCCCCCTTTTTTTCATTTTTTTTTTTTGGCCTGGTGATTTAAGGGGAGTTAATGGGGATTTAGTGTGTTTAAATGGAGATTTCATCGGATTTCATATGATTTCGTAGGGATAGAATGATATGTATATATATATATATAGATAGATATATATATATATATAGATAGATAGATAGATAGATAGATAGCAACTAATCTGATTCGGGTGTGTCTGAAAATGGGCTATATACCCAGAAATAGCTTTTTTTTGGGTGGGAAAATGATGATAAACCATTAAGTTTCCAAAGTCAAAGGGGTACCCCCAAATCATCCAAGCTATTAGACCATTGTAGTCTTGAAACCCCTATATAGTAGGAAAACCCGGTGGGCTGGCCATCAAAATGTGAATTTCATGGGATATTGATATTCATGGGATAAGATGTTCCAATACCCTCTTTTGTAGACGAGTTACCTATTGATGGTGGTGATTTTTCATAGCTACGTTAAATTACCAGAGGGTAAAGGATTCTGTGAACTCCCAAGAAAAGTTGGGTAGAATACTGCCATGTTATCATAATCAACCAACATGGGATTTGAACAATGCCCAATTTCGGGGTTTTGTGTGAAAAATCCAGATCTTATTTAAGTTGGAACACTAGATAAAGAGCAAAATCTAGAAAATTGGTGAAGCAACTTCCTTCAACTTCAGTTTTTCAGTCATCATTCTGTTCTTCATTGTTGGATTGCCAAAACGGAGGTGATCTCCATTCCCGTGGATGAGGTAGTTATATCATGATGTATATCATGATGTATCATCATATCGTCTACAAGGTGGTACCCCCCAGTGATGTGAACGTTGATTTATAAACCCCACTAACTAGTTCTATATATCTACCATAAACCATAATTATTGAAGTTTTTGGCACCAACTGAACGCTAACGTTTTGGGGCACCACATTGTATATTGCAAAAAAAAAGATGGGATTTTCCATCCATGTGCAGAGTGCAGAAGCACCACATGGTTGTGAAACGTGTTGTTGATGTTCACTGTCATCCTTGTTGCTTATATGTTTCATATATTTTAAAGGATCAAATTGATCAAATACATTAATGGTCCAATGGTTCCTTGTTCATTACATTATGTAGTCCTTTTCTTCCATTCCTAAAATTCACATGATTTATATTCCATAAAGTTCATATTCACATATATTCACAATTGATATTCCAGCCATATTCAGACCCCTTAGATAAGTCATGTTGCACAGCGCAGGTACTTGCTGATCTCTGGCGAAGCAAGGCGCAACGGCGCAACGGATCCACTTGTTCTGGAGATGCCATCGATTTGACCAAAAAATGGTGGCTTTAACCACGGCAAATGTGATATCAAAAAACATATATATATATATATATATATTGGCCCCACATTAGAACATATCTATGGCCCCATCAAAATATAACATACATATTCTAGATTTTTGATAACTTGTTTTTTCTCCAACAAATGCCATCAACATGACCAATAAAGAGGAGATGTTGCAATAATCCGGTCAAGCAAGTATGTTTATGGAGATATGTTTGAATATGCTGGAATATGATGATCATGATATACTGGTTGGTGGTTCACCAACCAGTATATATATATATACAACCAAGGTGTGGGTTGGCCTTAAAATGGAGGATCATCATCTCACCATCCCAACTTTAGTCGAAGTCTGGGCAGCCCACAATTGTAATTGGGCAGAAGATGGTTCGATACAAAACCATTGGAAAATCAGGAAAACCCATTTTTGAACAAGCATTAGAAAACCATTCGACAAATCAGATGGAGTGAACCTTTTTGTTTATTGAAAACCATTCGAACACCAGAAAAAACACCAGAACACCGAGTCGGCTTGAATTTACGGCAGCCTTTCAGAAGGGCAGCAGGACATGACCTCACCAGGTGGGCTTTGCACCTTTGCAACGATGAAAAGGGCTGAACAATAGCGACGTCACCAAGGGGTCACTATTGGGTCACTATGGATTCTGGTGATTTGGGTGAATTATCAGCAAATAGCCCAAAAAACCAGTTGGTGAATGGTTATAATTTATCCAGCCATTTTCCCCCTTGACATCCCCATCAAAGGGACGATTTTATACCCACAAACATCCCCACCCAGTAACCATTTTGTCCGGAATCAATTCAGAAAGAATTACAGCCAGATTCACGTAAATTATATCCCAATTGTACCCCCCATTCATCGCCATAATGAACACAATTATGCCATAATGGACGTAATTATAACCCCGTATGCCAATTATTCACGATTTGTTGGTTTTGGTCATCTCAATATCCCCATCATAGATGTCCCAAATTCCCATTGGTTGGTTAATAGAGTGGTTTGTTTACCCCTTAACAACAGGTAAATGATGATAGATGGCATACCAAAAGGACATTATTGATCCCCATAAATCAGCCCCAGATGACTCTCGTTCTACGATCCCAAGAAGTTGCTCAGGCAAGTCGGCGAGATCAAGCTGGTGAGATTGAGGCTGGAATGGCCGAATGGCCGAATGGCCGTGTTTTCTAGGCGGACTTAGCCTATGGTAATTTCAGAGAGCTATTGAACATGGCCCTGACTTATGTTGACTTCATGGGAAAAATGAATGAAAATGATGATTCTCCGTAGCTATGTTAGTTTACTAGAGGGTATGGGGTTCAAGAACTGGGGTATTATATGGATATATGGGAAAATTATGGAAACTGGTGCTATAACCAGCAACAATGGTGATGCAATGGAGATATAGTGGGGAGATATTGCCAACAACATGATACATGGCTTTGTCTTCAAATCTGGGAGCCAATATATGACCATTTGACTGTGGAAAAAAAAGGTGATCAAGCAGAATTTGTTTAGGGGTAGCCTATAGATTCAGATACTGTACCTGATTGGTGGTTTCAAACATTTGTTATTTTCCATTTCATATATGGGATAATCCCAACCCCATTGACGAACTCATATTTTTCAAGATGGTTAAAACCACCAATCAGGTACACATTTGTTAGGAACAACATGGTCTTGAGATGGTTTCGTTGGCGACAGGGACTGTGGGGTGGAGTCGAATTTCCATGCTTCAGAAGCACATGGATAGACGGTCACAACGCACATGGATTCCCAGCTAAAATGTGGGAGTCATTTTAAGCCACTTTGTTTGAACATAGGCTACAGCCAATTTGGGGCTTTATGATAATCATTATCATTTCACCTATTTTTGGACAGCCCAAAACCAGATCTGGACATGGTGAAATGTACGTCGTCGCAAGCATCCAATGTGTTTGACTGACCTGGATAGGATGGTCCCCATCACAAGGATCAGCCGCCTACTTGCCGTACTCAAGGGGTCATAAGCCACTTAATCCACGATGTCTGGGGTGAACCAAGTCATGTTTCACAACAAATATTCAACCCTTCAGTAGTAAAACATGGCAATCGACAATTTTTCATTAAGTTCAATTTCCCACCAAAACCAGCCAAAACCTCCGTTTATGCCGAAGGGTAGTACAAGAACACCACAAGAACATGCAAGAACAAAGCTTTGGCAATGTTGGTAATAAAAAAATAAAAAAATCAGGCAACTGCGATGATAGCAGAAAGTCAATAGTTATAATTAGTTAGCCCAAGTGGTTTATGGCGTTGTCTGAAAATAGGTTACCATCTGGTTATGACTAACATAGCCATGGAAAGATCCACCATTTTTTTCAGTTCGGTAAACCATCTATTTCGATTAGGGCCATCGAAAAACCATGGCTACGTTCGTCATAACCAGGGGGTATCACTTATCACATCACACCAAATCCCCTGGTTTATGATCATTTTCCCGACCATCTGGCGACCATCCTGGGGTCAATTCTGGAGACAATTATTCTAACCAGATCAAAGACTTTTTGTGCACCAAGAGCAAAACAAAATGGGCGTTAATTGGCCAGAATTTAGTTTGTGTGTATGTATATATATATATTTAATAGTATATATTTGGTGTATATATATATATATTATACATACAATATTTATATAAATATAAATTATATAAACATACTTGTTTATATCGCGTTTATAAACCCGTATTTTATTGACATAAAGCCAGCTCTTGAAGACCAACATCTCCCAGCTCATCAGGTCACAGATGCATCACAACCGAGTACCGCGGAAGAGGCCCACCGTGCTTCAAGCTAGTGGCAGTTGATGTCGCCACAAACAAGTGCTGCACCAAAAAAGAAATAGAGAATGTATTCACGTACATACTACTAAAGACTATTACCCAGAATAAGATACACCATTTTGTTTAACGTTGCTTTAACAAGAATGGATACAAATGGGGTACCTGGAGCTGACCCATAGCCATTTGGGTGGTGTGTCATGGTTCCATGTGCGGGTCTTGGAAACGTCAAATATTTAACCAAACTTATAGAGAGTTCATGTATGCTTGTCTATGCAAATGAACTATGTACATATTTTTTGCATATAATCATCGTACCGTTTACAGTATACATGTAATTATGCAAATGTATGTATGTATAGATGTACATATGTGTATTACATATGTGTATTATATACATTTGTATTTATATACATATGTATACCAATAAATGTGTAAAACAGTACAGTACATGCTTGTGTTTGGATGTCAAAAGCTACGCATCCCAAGCATGTTTTTCGTTGATTGCCTAGATTCTAGTTAGATAGAAGGTCTGCACCCCAAGCTTGAAAAGACCAGAGCATCATTGGATTGATGTTATATACATTTCACGAAACAGTCTTTTAAATACCTAAAAGTTACCTGTTAAAAAAATCATGCATCCAATTCTTGGAACTGTGCACCTCATGTTTCCAATGTTTAATGTTATGATCCGTATCAGATCAGTTTGTTGATTCTTGATATATATATATATATATATATGTACATGTGCATTCATATATATATATATGTATGTATTATACATATATATATATAAATACATATATATATATATACATATATATATATAGGTATATATGAAGATACATCCATACATACATTAGATTACATTACACTACATTTACATTACATTACATACACACATACACACATACACACATACACACATACACACATACACACATACACACATACACACATACACACATACACACATACACACATACACACATACACACATACACACATACACACATACATACATACATACATACATACATACATACATACATACATACATACATACATACACACATACACACATACACACATACACACATACACACATACACACATGCACACATGCACACATCCACACATACACGCATACATACATACATACATACATACATACATACATACGTACCTACCTACCTACCTACGTACGTACGTACGTACGTACATACACACATACATACAGACAGACATACATACATACATACATACATGTATACATGTATACATGTGATTTATACATATATATATATCAATATTTTGTTTTTTAAATATAATTGCACATATATATATACACACACATAGACCTATTCCCCCCCACCAAAAGCTAGTTGGAAGCGATGAGCTAAGCCACCAATCCCAGCCACTAGCAAACCCAACTGCCTCAGGCAATGAACTCAGACACCGTGCAGGACTGTCCTCCTAAAAGTCAAAGTCCCAGGCCTAGGGCGGAATGGCTTTCGGATCTGAAAATAGCGGCCTGGGCTGAGAGCAGAATTCGAAGTGGATAGATTATAGCCATACACTGAGAATTTTTTCATGTTCCAAACCACCAATCAGTATATGATCCATGTTTATGTATCCAATCAGTATGTGAAAACCATTCTTGAAGTTTACGCGATTGATCCTAGTGACATTAGACATTTCAACCACTTGAGAAGTGGATCAGCAAACCAGCCAGATAAAATTGATGGTTCAATGGTTGGGATTATAGGAATCATCCCAGAGAGAGTTTTGGAAGGCAAGAACTTGGCTGGTGATATGTCCATCCTTAAACATGTGATGATGATGACGAAGGAACCGTTGGAATGATCTAAAAGTTTTGTCACACGTGGTGGATGTAACCCCCATCTCCCAAGCTGAAGCACATAAATCAGGTTTTGAGTTGCGTGGAGTCCTTGATTCTGGGCCATTTGCCTAGATTCCTGGATCCCTGAATATCTCCATTGCTTCAATCATGTTGAATCCCTGGTTCAGGATATGCAAAAGTCCTGGTTTTGGGCTGGTGGATGACCCCAGATGATTCCAACGTGAGCTCGGTTGAGCTCGCTTAACCAACTGTGCATCGCAGTTCTTCATTGGATCATGATTTCACTGATTTAAGATATACCCACACACATCAACGCACGCTAACTATAAACTCAAGAAACTATAACTGGGGATATACCATATATATATATACGTATATATGAATAGACTCAATAAACTTTAGCTGGTGATATACCATGTATATATACGTATATATATATATGTATATCTAAAAAACATAAATGAAATAACAAGAAAAAACATATATACCCTATACGTCAATGGATGGCAACCATGGAATACTGACGCCAGGTCGCCTGACGTCACCCAAGAGTATGTGGTGCCAAGCCAGGATCGGCACATGGCTGGAACATCCCTGGGCGAAATCATGGTTTTAATATGTTTTAATATATGTTCAGAGCTGGGACATCCATCCAACTAAATGGTGGATTTTCCAGCAAACCAGGTTTGATGACACTGGAGGGTAACTGAACCATGGGACCTTAGAACAACAGCGTATTAGGAGGCTAGAATTGTTGTAGATTGTCATGAATCGAGTGAAAAATGTGTGGTTTCCCTGAAGTGGGGTCCAGTTGTTACAGCGAGTATCGTTGATATCAGGATGAGACCCCAATGGTTAAGCAGATTGGTACATACTCATACAAGGTGATTTGGAATGATTTATAGACATACTGGTTGAAATAATATGAACATGTATGAAAATGTACGAACATGTATGAACATGTAATAGTTACACCAGTCAAATATGTTCCTTTTCGAGGTGGAACACCTCTCAGGATGATCAGATAAACAAAATCACTGCATGATTTGATGGCTGCCATTGGTGGCTTCACCACCTGCTAACTTTAGTATATTTTATTATTGATCTATATTAGTCTACGTTTATATTTGATGCAGAGTTTGGATTTGTTTCAACGAAACGCTAGCAGAATCTGATTGGATCTTCAAATGCCTGTTACAAATCTGATTTTCCAGAACATCATGGCCAAGATGGCCGTAATCAAAGTCACTCCCGGCAGGAAAGTATTGAGGAAATGGATGTGGACGAACAAGAGGTCCCGCTTGAAACCAAGAATCTGCCATGACTAGTCCGTTGCAGGAACAGGAAGACAAAGGGGTTGGGGTCTTTGCACATCATGCTTGGACAGTTTTGGACATATGATAAATAAATAAATAAAAATATATATATATATATATTATATTATATATATATATATATTATGTATATATTCAAGTTATATATATATACATATTATAATTATGTATATATATATGTATATATCATAATAATAAGAATGACAATTCAATGCATATATATATAATTAATATATATATATTATAATAATAATAATAATAAATAATAATTATTATTATTATTATCTATATAATATATATAATATATATAAATATATATATACATACATTGGGGTTGTCCAAGTTCCAATATGTGCTGGTTGCGTCCTCACATTTTGCTCTGCTACTTGTGCCAAGGCCCAAACGCCAAAAAACTGCCGAGTCAGGCCCCTGCTGGGTGTTAGCTGCTGTTGCTACCCGGTGTATTGAACACATATGGGAAAAATGGGGGTTTATGAGGTTTCGAAGAAACCCAAGTAGCATTTTGGGTTGAACTTCAAAGGAGCCGAATTCATGTTGTCCTCTGAATTCACACATCTCGGCATTCGCCTTGGGGATTGCAGGGCGTTGCAGGGCATGCCACGTTTCTGCCAGGTTCATCTTCCTCCTTTGGGACGTCAATCCTGGAGAGTACCAGAACCAAAGAAGTTCTGGATGTCGATGGCTTGCTCGAAGGTTCGCTGATGTGGACAGCTTCGTGGACTAGTACAATGATCAAACCCGAGTGCGCTCCTACTGCAAGCGCCAAAATAGAGAATAGACACGTACTTATTCACAGTTTTAATTTTTCAGAGTACGTTTCCAGATTTTTTTCAGTATTTTAGTAGGATATGTGACATGTGTTTTTTCTCTCTTTTTTAAAGAGCCACCGAAAGGCAGGAACAAGGCGTTGAGGTCAGAACCCGAGAATCGGTGTCATGAACCATACCCCCCAGCTCTCGCTGACGGCAAGCTAAGATAGGTGCAGGGGGACCAAAGCCCAAGGAAAATGACCTACAGTTGAAGCCCTTTATCAATTGTCTTGATGGTTATTGCGGTTATCCTTCCATAAATGGGATGACTTTTTGACTAACTGGTATTTCGGGTCAGTTTTCCAGTACATTTCCGGTTGGTTTTCCGGTCCTCTAATATATTTGGTCTAACTGAATGGTTACCCTCCAATTCTTAGGGCTTAAGTGGTTTAAGTCTTAGGGGCCATGACTTGAAGCCTAGCCAGGTGCTCCAAGTGGTTTGCCGCAGACAGCTGTTTGGCACACAGAGACAACATCACTGCGGATGGCGAGATATTGCAAGGAACATGTGGCGAGACAAGTTAGGAATAGCTAGGATATATATATATACTTCCCGAAATCTGGGCTGGTTATCATTGAAACCCAAAACAGGGTTGTTTCGAAATGTTTGGAAGAAGTTTTGACAGGGGACGCACCATTTGTTATAAGCTTCAACTCTTCCTCGAACATCTTTTTACGTTACATCACATGATACCCGCAGCACGCTCGAACATTACTGCTACATGTAGCGTAGCACTGCATACACTTACCAATCGGGATCATCCAAGATTGACTGTTATACATTATAGAATATACACCTTCCCAATTCCATATATAATATAATATAATATAATATATATATATGTTCATATGTATGTATATATGCATACATTGTATGTATGTATGTAATCTAATGTAATTTAATTTAATGAGTTTAATGTAATGTAATGTACTGTAATGTAATGTAATGTATGTATGTATGTCATATGCATACCATTAATATCAATATCCCATGAATTTCACATGCTTAATGATTAAACCATGTTAAACCATCTTAAACCATGTTTAACCATGTTGAACCATGTTAAACCATCTTAAACCATGTTGAACCATGTTAAACCATCTTAAACCATGTTTAACAACTACACCCTCGGTTCAAGCGCTACAGTTTCGAGGTCTCCCAGCTGAAAGATCTCTTCAAAGCTGTCGGAACATGCCTGGCAACAGTGGGAGCCAAGACACTCGAAGCGGCCGATCCGGGGGGACGACCTAACTCTTTTTCTCCAATGCGACATGGGGATTGGTTGAAACCAACGGAAATATGATGATATCTATATATATATATAAAATAATATATATATATATTATTATATATATATAAACATTATGTGTGTTTTTGGTTGGATAGTCACTGGTTTGCGCTACAAGGGTAAGACATAGTAAGACTGTTTTTGTGTATTGGATACGTTTCCTTGTCCCACGTCAAAGATCAGGGTCTGGGAGTTCAGATCATCAGCCAAGCTGTACCCCTCAGCGAACATGTGAATCGTGACTTTGGGGGGATCAATGATCAATTAGGGAATCAGCGTTGGAACAGAAGGACAAAGTCGGTAATCACTTGGCACGGGCATATGATGTACTAGCTTAAACAAGTTTGGTGTTTTTGTTGTTTATGCTTTGGTGGTTATATCATGTTATAACTAACATATAAGATGTACGTCAACTTAGACATAAAAGCTCGCTCCCGTTTTCAGCGCCCAGGAAGGGTGCGCTTCAGCGCACCTGTGTGAAGACGGCGAAGCAAGGCAAATTGGTGTGTCTCTCGGCTCCGTGATGAATGGATCTGAATGGTCGGTACAAGGTTGTGCCCCCCAGTTATAAGTTGGTTTATAAACCCCATTAACTATAGATATATCTACCATAAACCATAGTTATTGAAGTTATAAACAAACTTAGCTAACTATAGGGCACCACATTGTAGGTTGGTTGTGTCAAGAGAGGCTCCTGATGGCGGGTTTTTCAGTCTGAGACTTTCTCCATAGGTCCCCGTCTTTTCGCAGGACTGTTTTTCTGCTTTTCAACGCCCAACGTTTCTGGTGTGATTTTAAGCGACACAACAAAAAGTACCAGGTATGCCATTCAATCTGACTGATTTCCTGCCACTTCGATGGGGGGGTTCAATGGCATGGCCCTAACCACGACTAGTCATGTTCAATAGTTCACAATCCTTTATTGACAACAAGCACGATTCCAGAAATTAACGCTGAAAATTACCCAAATGTCTGGTTCAATTGTCCAAGTCTTGAGCAGCCCGAAAAATAGATCTACCCTCTGGTAATTTAACCTAGCTATTGAAAATGGCCATAGAAATAGTGGATTTACCCATTGAACATGATGATTTTCCATAGTTTTTTGTATGTTTGCCAGAGGGTAATTGTGTTGAACACCTGGAACTCATGAGGGAGACACCATCATTCCTATGTAGCTCTTACTATGTAACATAAATTGCTAATATTAGTCTTACTATGGTCTATATATTCACACGATTCAATGTAACTACTATATACATACATATGCTATATATATATATATTAATGTATATATATATATATGCTATGTATGTATGATATACTTTGATGGCATGATTACTATATCTATATATTACATTACATTATATTATATTATATTATATTGTATTATATTTTGATTTATTATATTATATTATAGCACGTGTATATATATATGTTATAATCTATGTTGTGCATGGGCTTTTTCACCTCAAATCTCTTTTCGATGTTGTTTCATCGGCCAGGTGCCTCGCACGCCAAGTCCAGCAACTCTTCAGCCAGTTGCTTCCAGGCCCCGGCCGAAAGGTGGAACCATAGTTGAAAACCCCATAAGTTGTGATATAACTTGAATAAACCCGAAAAAATCATGGTTTATATAAGTTATATACAATAACATCAATCGTTTAACTTATA